GTGTGTGTGTACCTTTATACATATATATATATATATATACATAGTAATTAAGTACATGGGATTAGAAAGCTGTAAAGTGAAGACTAAAAAGGGGGGGGGGTTGCAGCCCTATAACCCTACCATGTCTTATCCTCTAAAGTAAAGAAAGAAAAGGAGGGGGTTAGGTTTCATCTTTCTCCTGCGATCTTAAAGAAGAGAAAAGGGGGGGAGGAGCTGGACAGAAAAAGAAGAAAAGAGTAGGAAAGAAAGGAAGGAAAGAAAAAAGATAAGGAAAAGGGAGATCATCGTCTGGGGCTGTGGGGGGGGAAGCAGGTTCATAGAGGCTACTGTCGGACACAAAGGGCAGCCATAGCTACCTGGTTTGGAAGGAAGAAACAGCAACAACAAGTCCGTAGAGAAGAAGCAGCAGGCAACGGTTCATTGATCTGCCGGGAGAAGAAGAACCAACAGCAGCAGCGGGAGCTACCTGCGCTGCTCCGTCTCCTCTCGGACCGCCAACGTCGTGTCTCCAACCCCGTTCACTTTCTTTGTGCCTCCTAACCCTTCTGCGTTTTGAACCGTTTCGGGCCACTGCAGCAACAGCAAAACAGCATCGCTGTGAGCTGTTTTCCTCGCCATTCTCGTCGGACAGCAGCAACGCAGCAAACAGCAGCCGCAGGCGCTGTTTTGTTCCTTCTTCCGTGCCCAAACAGCAGCCTGCTGTGCCTTTCCGTCACCTCGCCAAAACCAACTGCTACTGCTGCGTTTTCTGAGTTTTCTTGACCACAAACAGCAGCAGCAACAGTGGCCGAAAGCCACTGCTTTTCTTCGCCTTTTGTCGCCAAAACAGCAGCAGCAACAGTGGCCGAGAGCCACTGCTTTTTCTTCGCCTTTCGCCTAAAAACAGAAGCAGTAAGTGTTGCATTTTCTGTCTTCTTTTGTCGCCAAAACAGCAGCAATAAGGGTTGCGTTTGCTGCACTCTTTCTCGCATCAGCCCAGCAGCAGCAGCAGCAAGCCGTCTGCGTTTCTTTACGCGTCTCGGATCACCCAGCAGCAGAAGCAGCAGGAGCTGCCGGTTCCCTTTCCGAACAGAAGTATAGTCACAGCAGCTCAGCTGTGATTACCTTTCGTCTCGGCTGCCAAAACAACAGCAAGAACCGCGTGTTCTCTCTACTCATCACCAAACTACAAGCAGCAGCAGGTGAGTTCAACTTAACCCTTTATTTGGAACCTTATACTATAGGAATGGAGTATTGTACTTATCTTATGCTTTAACTTGATACATTACATATTTAGTTGGAAAGAAGGTTTCGGGTCAAAAGGATGAACTAGTAGATCCCGTTATTGATGATTGGTCGAGTTTGGGTAAATGGTTTTATCGCTTGGTAAAACACCCGTTGTCATAGTGTCGATGGCCATTAAGCTCTAAAACCTTCATGTACTTAGTTTAGAGTTCCTTATTGGCAAGTGGGGGTATTTCTCTTGAGCTAGGACACACTCGAAATCATCCTGATAGGTGAGTACTAAAAGGCTATTGGCACCGTACTTAAGTATCGTACTTGATTATATTGGACATAAAGTTGTGAATGGCCGTTTTATATGTTTTGTGTGAAGGTTGGTGTAAGATGGAATTAGGCATTGTGATTATTATGTAATCACCAAATCATCCTCTCACTACCACTCGGTAATAGGCATTGTGATTATTATGTAATTACCGAGGTAAAGAGCTTATGATCACGAACGACTACATGACTGGTTTAGGTTGATGTCGATGGTTTTTATACCTGTAAGTGATGCTCTATAACGTTAATCCATGACTTACTTTGTGTTCCGTCATGTCTAACGGTAAATCGGGTCTCCCCCGTCATCTTCGGATGTCTTGACAGTCCCACGTATTATTTATGACTCATTCTCCATATATATAAAAATCGTACGATAGTACGACATTATTTATATTTATATAGTGCATGTATATCGTTTTATTATATTCGTGGGAAGGATGGTGTAAGTTGGTGATAGGCATTGCTATTATTATGTAATCACCAAATCATCCTCTCACTACCACTCGGTAATAGGCATTGTGATTATTATGTAATTACCGAGGTAAAAAGCTTATGATCATGAACGACTACATGACTGGTTTAGGTTGATGTCGATGGTTTTTATACCGGTAAGTGATGCTCTATAACGTTAATCCATGACTTACTTTGTGTTCCGTCATGTCTAACGGTAAATCGGGTCTCCCCCGTCATCTTCGGATGTTTTGACCCTTCCGCATATTATATGAGACTTATTTACTCTTTTGTTACCGCTTAAAGTTTTGCCATCTTTATGTACGTCCTTGCTTGCATATAGGGTATTGCATTTACACTGTTCATATTGTTTGGACTCACTAGGTGTAAGCCTAACACTTTCTGGTTTTGATTACTTATCAGGTTCCGTTAGCGGCGGGGCTTAATAGGGTCGAAAGGAACGTTGGTTCGTGAAAGGCTCTTTTGTAGATTAAGCCTTTATTACTTTTGAACGTTGCGTTTGTTTTGGTGATACGGTATTTTTGGAGATTGATTGAAACACCCATCTTTATTCTGTTATAGAAAAATCTAGATTAATAGGTTGTTAATTATCGTCTCGGTAGCTGATTTGTAAACGCTTTTCTATTACCCCTTTTGTTTGGTGAATTTTTTTTTTATATAAAATTCTGATTTTTTCGTTACACATTTAAGTCATTTTTGCCTTATATTTTTAGGGTGTTACAACAATGAACCCAAATTCCATTTACACCATCAGATGACTCAACGAATTTCGAAGGTTAGTAAATATTAAAGTTCGATGTTTTGAGGGTTGGCTAGATTATTAAGTTCTTGGATGCAGATTTGTTTTATATTTTGCATATAGAATATGGCTTCATCTGTTTTGATATGATGGTATGAATATGATGTTGTGACTGCACATCTTTAGATGCTTATAGGTGTTAATAAAGAGCTACTGAGAACCTTGTGTGCTCAAATTAAGGGTAACCAGTTTGTTGTATTTGTAAGCAACTTAAAGATGGGCATTTAAGTGAACATGACCATTTAAGTGAACATGACCATGGTGAAATTGATCATTTCACCCAATTCATTGACATAACAAATATTTATACTCATCATGAATATAGCTTCATCAGTTACAACCTTATTTCATCTTCTTCAAAATAACCTTATTCTGCTCCTGCTTCTGCTACTGCTAGTCCTTCATAAGTGAACTCATTGATTCCATCAACTACTCATGATTCACCAGTGTAGCTTAAGCTCAATTTTCGCATTAGCTCTTTGATAAGATGAATATGGTTTCATTAGCTACCCTTTTCCATTCCTACACCCTAGAATAAAAAAGAGTATTATTGTCCTTAAATTTTCTGCTGCTGTCAATATACAATTATCAATCAGAATCAGATTAAATACACACCATTATGTATTAATCTAATTCATTTGATAGTTTTTTAAAGTTGATGATGATGACGATTATGATAGCTGACTATGTCAAGTCTTAGTTGATAAAACATTCATCAATTAATCCTCGTGCACACCATAACATGAAAGTCAAAGGATCTCACTGTTAACTACTCTTGAACCGACATCGTGTGTTTATGCAAGATGGTCATGGGTGAACGGTTAGCCATGTTACAAAGGTGTGGTCATGGTAATCATGATGAGTCCCTACCAACATGGTTAAAAGAGCATACAAACTGCCCATTGAATTAAACCAATATGCATCTTAGCTTGTTCATTGTACCTACTAATATTTGATGTAATTGTAATAAAACCAGCTGCAGCTCAAGTTGCTGGCCCATTTCATAAAATAGAAGAAGCAGATGTCCAAGTGAACCCAGTTGTAGTCGAAGTGAACTCAATTGATGTCCAAGTGAAACCAGTTGCAGACCAATTGAATCCAGTTGATGTCCAAGCGAACCTAGTTGAAGACCAATTGAACCCAGTTGCTGGCCCATTCCATACAGTAGAAGAAGCAGATGACTCAACACATTGCGCTGGTTAGTGAAGTTTAACATATATCTTTACCATATTGATCATTTCACCCAATTCATTGACCTAACCAATATGTATACTCATCGTGAATATAGTTTCATCAGTTGATGTCCAAGTGAACACAGTTGTAGACCAAGTGAATCCAGTTGATGTCCAAGATGTCCAAAAAGTTGCTGGCCCATTTCATAAAATAGAAGAAGCAGATGTCCAAGTGAACCCAGATGCAGTCGAAGTGAACTCAGTTGATGTCCAAGTGAACACAGTTGCGGACCAAGTGAATCCAGTTGATGTCCAAGATGTCCAAAATGTTGTTGGCTCAGTTCTTACAGTCGATGAAGCAGATGACTCGACTAGTTTCATCATTAGAATGCATCAAATTTTAATAATGATCATGATGAAGTTTGCATTACGGATAAAAAAACTAGAAATATAGGTGAAAATTCATTATATAAATGATGTGTAATTTGTTTCATTATTCGTTACAATGCATCAAATTTTAATAATGCTTATGATGAAGCCAGATTCATTATGCATGCCCTTACATTATGCATCTGATTATAATTACTGTTGTACTTAGATTACATAAAGTTTACTAATGAACTTAGTACATTTTACATGCCCTTACATGATGCCATAAAGTTTACTAATGAAATTAGATTAGTTCATTGATCTATATAGAGCTACTCTGATGAACCTGGTTTCATAAGTACATTTCATATGCCTTCACATGACTTCATAATGTTTACAAATGAACTCAGATTCATACTTAATATGATGAATATTGGTTTCAGCAGTACATCTTATACCTTGCCATTATAATATCATGAGGTAATTACACAATCAAAAAACTCAAAAATGGAAACTTAAATGTAATCAAAGTGAAATAAAATCCATCAATACAATCCAATAAAAATGTAATCAAAGTGAACTAGATCCATCAATACAATCTAATAACATCTCAAATTGAAATGATACGAAAAAATCAAAAAGATAGCTTAAATATAATCACGCTTCGGACAATTCCGAGAATCATGTGTAGCCATCTGACCACATAGTCGACACTTTCTCTTCTGCTTTTTTCCGTTTGAAATTGCTTTCTCTGCAGCGCTAATAAGTCTCTTACCAGTTCCACAACCTTTGTTTCGAATACCGGTAGGAAGAAGAACATGAACAGTTTCGGGTTGAGATACTCCAAGAAACTCTTTAATAGACGTTGTGGTCTCTTCATTGTGTGACTGTAAAGGAAGTTCAATGTCAACCTTTGAATCCCATTGTTCAAGTTGGTCAACAAAACTTGACAAAATATCTTTTTCATTTCGGACTCGGCCTAAGATTCGTTCAAAATATGAATAAGCCAAACTCATCAATCTCTCTTTCTCTGCATCAACTTCACCATATCTGAAACGTGCTGGTAACCACTCCACGGGAACTAGATCGCGTCTCTAATGACGAAGTATATATTTATCGGGAATTCTGTCAACCTCGTCATTTAACATCACCTTGAGAGCGTGACAACATAAAATCCCATTACGAACAAAACAATTGCAACTGCAATCGTATGAGTTTTCCATCTTGTTCTTAATCACCTATTATATGGTAGGAGGTTTCATCATATTGTTCGTTAAAATATTATAGCACAATAAGGGGTGCAAAACGAAATTGGAAAAAGTAAATACCGTGTACTTTGTTGTGACCTTCGAAGCCTTGTTCTTGTGAGTAATGGTGTACACTTTGGTTTCACCAACGTTGGTGAATCCATCCCATCCACAAAGCCAAACAGCCTTTCTTAACTCTTTCTGAATTTCGAAAAATATCGTCCGTGTATACAACTCTGATGCATGAGCTTCTAACTTGCAAGGGGACACCAATCGAGGAATCGTGCTCTTGGTTGTAACCTCTAGCGACCCATGTGTTGCCCGTTGACTTTCAATTGCATTATCAAACGAACGGAGGAAAACAACAAGATCATGCCAATAATGTGCATAAACGTTAAAGAACGCATTGATGCTCTCCGACCTGGATGTTGTTTTCATCAGGCCTGACATATGATAATCCTTATAGTAAGYCGGAATCCACGACTCCCTAATATTGTACAATTCATCAAACCATGGATCTTCACGTAATCCATAAAAATCGATCAGATTGTTCCATTGCATCTCAAATTCATTAGGACCAAGATGAACGTTCCACACCAACTTATTAAATTCGCTAACGAACTGCGTGCGGTGTTGGAGGTAATTACTAATCTGCAAAGTAAACCACCAAACACAATTACATAGAAAATGAAAATGAAAAAAAAATTACTACAAAAAATATCATCTTAATTACCTTCGATTTCACCTTTTTAGTGATATGCCACATACACAATCGATGCCTGGATTCCGGAAATGCAATGGGAATTGCTTGTTTCATCGACGCACATTGGTCGGTGATAACGAAACGTGGTTGACGTCCATGTGCTTTTACAAACGCTTTTAATACCCATGTGTAATCAMCTACAGATTCATTATGAATCAATGCAGCTCCAACAACAACGGATTTCTTATGATTATCAATTGCAACGAATGGAACAAATATCATAGCATGCCTATCAAAAATAAACAATGAAAATTAATAGAAGGTACAATATAGAGTATTCATATCAAGAACAACTTACTTTTTAGTCCTAAACGTTGCATCAAATGATATTGCATCGCCAAATTCCCTATAATTTGATCGTGCAGTCTCATCAGCCCAAAAAATTGCTAACAACTCCTTGTCATCACACTTGTACTCGAAAAAAAACTCAGGACAAACCTTCCTCCTATTAGCCATCATATTTAATAACATTTGTGCGTCTTTATTACCAACAAAATATGTCATATCGCGTTTGAAGTTTTGATGATCTCTTACTGTGCCACCCGATGAATCTACACCACCCTTAACGGCTTTCATGAATCTATGAGATTTCGTGACACCAACCTTGGAACTAGAACCATGAAATACATTCTTATGATCAGCGTAGTGGAGTTGCCTTTTGGAACGGGAAAACCTCATCTYCTCTTTATTAAAAAGGATGTGATTGTGCTGCTCAACGAACTTGTAAAMTTCGTATTGGTTCGGTTCTTTAACAAGGTGAATTTTTAAACATGCTCCACAAYCTGAACGCTTGATATTTGAATTTCGGATTGTACGACCACCTGGAAGAACATCTAAGGAATCAAAATACTTACTTTGTGGCCTCCCTTCCTTACTACACA